TCTAAGATTAGAGCACAAATAAGGAATTTATTTAAATTATTAAAATATTACTCTGGAGCCAGTTCAAATGCAATTTAATTGTGACATATGAAATGTTATATTTTATTTTTTAAGTTGTCTTTACATCACTTCTTTTAGCAATCACTATAAATCATTTGAAACAATCTGAATTAGGTGTATTAAGATAATGAAAAGATTTTATTTTTTAGTCTAACACAAGTTTATTTATACTTTTTATGAGTAGTTCATTGAAAAAATTAATTATTCTAAATAAATTTGATCAAAAACTTATAATCAAAAGTAGTACGGAAAATCTAAAAAACAGTTTAGAAAATTAGAATAATGTTTACAATTCTTTGTTGACACAGATTGCAAATATCTTAAATATATATTTGTGAAATAAATTTATTCAGTGTAAATATTTAATGTCGTTTATCGATTTTCACCAAAACAGTTCAAAACCTTTATAGGATAAAATTTTATTCTAAGTGTCTTTTAGGTATATCGCTATCCAGCTTTTACCACTAAGGTCCAGTTTCATAATCGAATTTAAAGAAGCGTTAAATTAAATGTTGTTCAGATTACTACGGACTTGTTGACAATAATTTCACATTCTAAACCAATATTGGCTTTAAAGTTTTTAATTAATTTGGCTCTTACTAATTTCTTATTGACAAAATGAAAAACGAGCATATTTGTCATTGTTGCACAGAGTGAGTTGTTTATTAACATTTGTTCTTTTAGTTTAGTTTACCTACTAGAACCTACTCGTGACAAGTTTAGCATTTAAAGCTAGTCATTATATATTACAACTCAAGTGGGCTCAGATTATAGGTATGACCGAAAGGCCCAGTTTCAACGTTAGACAAAGCTCAAGGGTGAATCCTACTAAGGTTTGTATGATATTGTATTTACAATCACACTTCCTTTAAATAATAAAATAACTGTTTTACTTACAAAGTTGAAGCATTAACGAAGTTCCTATTGTGTTTTTGACATTTTACGAACTCATGTCATAACCCTGGTAATTCTATAAAAATTACTTCTCGACTAAGGAATGTAATAGCATATCTCCCGACCTTCAAAAGGTCATGAATTAATACATTGTGTTTTTGACATTTTACGAACTCATGTCATAACCCTGGTAATTCTATAAAAATTACTTCTCGACTAAGGAATGTAATAGCATATCTCCCGACCTTCAAAAGGTCATGAATTAATACAGGGTGTTTCACACAACTTTACAAGGCTTGCGCCTAATGTACGGAACCAAATATACAAAAGTCACGAAACACTAGATACAAAAAATACGCATCTAATTATTTAATTTTTGGAAAGCCATAACAGTAGTTGTCAAACTAATCTCTGTTTCATTATAATAGTCATAAACTGCAGTTTTTCAGCAACAATTATTATTTGTTCTATCAAGAGACGGCATGAATATGATTCTAGTGTAACTATTTTAATCACTAACTAACTAAAAACGTTGTAATTTTTTAAAGGATGAACAAACTAGAGAAGACTATCCAATTTTTCAAAATTTGTAATCGAGTTTGTATCGGAATATGTATTATTGATTGCATCTTACAGGCGCAGGTCTCGTAAAATTATGTGAAACACCCCTGTACATTACTATCGTGCTTGTGAATAAAAAATATTATTTTGAATTTTTAAAAATTGAAACGGTGTCACAGTGTGCAGCAAATTTTATGAAAACAATTAAGTAAAATTTATTTAAAGTAATTAGTAATTAGTAGCAAGTAAGCTGTCAAAAAGATCTATAAAATATTTAACTTTATTGATTACTAGGGATATAAATATCCCTCGTTGTTCAAGAATATTATATCTGTTTGTTGAGTCAACAAATTAAATTCATACATCGGCTAAAATCACGAATGTACATACATAAAACGTTAGTGGGTAAATAATAAAACACGTGGAGAATAATTTATTTTCTTCTAAGACTAAATTGTGCTTTCTCAAAATTGTCAACTTTGTCTTTTGAAATGTATTGTTTTTGTAAAATCAGACAGATTTTTAATCGAGTGCACCACAAATGTAGAATGGGGTGATGGTAATGATAAGCGAGGTTAAATTAAACATACCTACAATAGAAAACCTAATCGCATGGAAATAGGGTCATTGCATCCATCGGAGTTTTTGTGTTTTTTTACTTTCATATGTTAGAGTTTAACTTTACAAAGATGCGATCCATCAATAAAATTAACTTGGAAGAGTTTGAAATACCAAAATTTCGATTATTAAGTTTGGGGTAGAATTTAAACTCGAGATAAATTCCCGCTTTACTACGTAACAATCCCAAAAACACTGACGACAACTGACAGTGGCAAGTGGAATAATATGGCGGATGTTTAATCACAAAATGTACTCATCTTTGGCATCATAATTATTATTGTATACACAGAACTCAGATATTAAAATAAACAAACACCAAAATATAACATGGGTCAATAAAAAAATATGTGCAACGACCCCATTGTGACGTAATTATTGCACTTTGTGACGAGAAACGAAATTTCTCCAAAGGTCATAGTGTCCCACATGTCGCTTCCGCTTATCTTATTATAATTCTATAAAACACTCTAGTGCAAAAGTGGAATAATATTATGTTAATATTGTAGAATCAATAAGTTCCCTTTTTAGAGTAGAGTCGACCTAAATTTCCCATCGCGCGTTTAAACTGAGCCCCAATAAATTTTTCGAAATTGTAAAGTATCGCATTTTAAATATAATGTATGATAAAGCTGAAGAATGTTTATAGATGGAAGCTCTCGAATGAATTTCATCATTTTTCGCAATCTACCTCGGCGGGGAACAAAAGCGTTGACTTCACAATAAGCGCGAGTTGCCCCCGTGGGGTAATCGAAAATCGATAGTGACAAACTTTTGTCACAAATAGCATTTTTTCCAAATTCTATTGTGGCGTTGCGTCAATTAGCTGTTTATGAATTCCAGTCGAGGCGTCGAAACTTCGCCAGCTGACTGATCGCTAGTTAATTTACTTTAATTGGAAGGGTTGGATTTTTTTAATCGAATTGGAAATTTGCCTCGAACTTTGTCTTGTCAAACACCAACTATTCGACGGTTCGATCTTTTCATGCCAATTTAACTTGCACTAACTAAGCACGAACAAATAAGAAGTTGCAAATTGTGTTTGGTATATAGGAACCTTCCTCCCTTCACAGCGAGAATAATTCTAATTAATTAAACACTCCTGCGTTAATCTCGATATCGAGCGAATTTGACATTTTAATAATCAATGCCACACATGCATAATTGGATGAGGTGATAATTTAATCCTAAGCCGCTTCATGTTAGATCTAAGAAAATATTTACAGACTCTGACACTCTCTCAATCGAAGATTGACACCGCATTTTTTCTAACAAGAAATTTGTAAAGTCACTTTATGAGTGATGAATAAAGTTAATTGGTTCAGTATAAAATTTCCATTGCGAACACGTGTTTATTATCCCTAAATAGACATGTCCTTTAGTACATGACAATAAAATATACAAACACTCCACTAAGACCAGATTTGTAATGGATTAACTATTTTTAGAATGCGGCACCTGCCCCAACTATTAAGAAAACGTCTAATATAATTTATCTTTATATATTTACAAGGTTCTAGAATGTATTATAATTTTCACAACATAAAAAGACACAAATGAGTAATTATAAAATTAATAGAATGAAATTAATCAATAAAAATAAAAATTTCCAATTAATATTGATAAATCATCCGACAATTAAAAAAATACACTAGGTAAGTATATAAACTGAATAATAAGAATATGGAGGAAATTCATGAATATAATAGTAGATAGATTTGAATTTTAAATTACATTCTTTGCAAGTGATGAAAACACCTAAAATATTTAAAATTTTGACTATCTACCTGATGATCATGCCGCAGATATTGTCAGCTTAATTAAAACATAGTTTGATGGTTAAATAAGTATGTGAAAATAAAAAGCAAGAAATTACAAAGGGTAAGTCAAACCTAAAGTTTAATGAATTCATTAAACTTTTACCTTGAACATAAAAAATTTAAATTTCAAATTTCTAATAAAACCATTAGCTATAATTCTTAATCTTTTGAAAATATTCTACAATCTAGATATCTTTTACAAGTAATAAGTATTAAGAAAGTAAACTTTTATGAATATTTACCTAGAAATTATAATCAAACCAGGGAGTGGAAGAAAAGGCTGAACTAAAACATGTAATCTGTGTAATTGTTCAGACTTTCCCCCTGTAAGTTATGTATTGCTGAAGGCATTAAAAAAGTTTGCTGATTTTTTTAGCTATTTATGACGTTAAAAAAGTACAAAAAACGTATTCTTGATAACAGTTTCATTCAGATTAAAAGAAATGATTAAATGTCATTTATGTACTTATGCATATTTTATGACTGAATGTTATTTCTTTTTATAAATTTAATTATAAGAACTATTTGAAAATAAAATAAATCATGACTTTTATTATGGCAACTTAATAATATACAGGATGTATCAGAAATAAGTACCAATTATACTAGTGTTTAAATTAATGTACATACATGTTTATTTATGTTACATGTTGTAGGTATAATTAACGCATTTTTACCGAAATTAAACAAACAAGGAACAGGTTTGTGATATTAAAAATTTTACTTGTAAAATTAAATGTTACTCATATTTTCCAGTTAAAATCAATAACATTGCAACAGTTTTTCCTTGTTTTCAACTTCTCAGTGTGTCTAAATTAAACTAATCACGCACTTTTTTCAAGAAAGTTGTACCGTTATTTCTTTGAAGGCTGATCAATATTTACTACACGAAATAATCAGCTCAATAACAACAAATTAATATATTCCGGCATTTCCCACACTCGTTTCTGGATATTTACAACGGGGAAAATATAATGAAAATCCCCTGTGTCAAGAAATGTCTTCAAAGTAACGCAACTATAAATAAATTCAATTTGGTATTCTTAACATGTCGGAGGAATAATAGGATTTCATTCTTAAATCGTTTAAGAACGGGATCTTTGAAGACAAAAAATAATAGAATGATGAAATCAGAAGTTCTCCCGAGATTTAAAGTATTCACATCAGGAACATGTTGGAAAAAAATCTGTCTTGAACTTGAAACGAGTATCATTAATGAATCTTGTTTGTTTGTACGTAAACTGTTTTAAATGGCAGTTTTATGAGAGGTCAATGTCATTAATAATTTTTAGTTAGCCACGGAATAGAAAAATGTTTCAGGAGACAAAAAAGTTATCCGAAAATTTTCTTTGTACTGAATCCAGATTAGTTGTTCAAATAACATTAAAGCCTTAGCCAGTTTACTGTTGTAAATCCCTAGATATTTAAGGATTTAGCTTATGAATTTAGCCAAAAAAGCAGACACAATGGAAATTACACTTGATTAAGATTAAGTAAACAAACTACGAAATTGTCAAATAAAACATAATATTCCATTCTAATCCCCCGAGCATTTATAGACAGGTGAATAACGTTAAGTTTTTCTACTTCTTTAAATCAGTGAGAAATAAATAGTGAGTGGGTGAACAAGTTTATCTCGCATTGTCATTCAAACGCAATCTCTCAATTACTTTGCTTACACCTTTTAATTGTTTTTATTGTGAGTAACAATGTTCTTCAATTGTGTCAATTTAATTTTGATTCCGCGTCAATGCCGTCCCATTTTTTCGCCAATTTAATTATCAAGGGTTGACAGTCTTATAAATGAGACCACTTAATAGGGATAATGGCAAAGTGGCAATTAGGCAAAATACTAGGTAGTATCATAACTCCGAACCATTTTCGCTTTCATTTGATCCCTCATATTGAGGAAATGCGTCTTGATATGTTCTCTAATTTGCTTTACTCTGAGGGTTAAATGCCGAGATTGTGATGTAGACAGCCCAATTAATCATTTTCCGTTTTTTATTCAGTTCGTCATTTGTATTAGCAAAACTTCCATAAAACACTTAGTTCTGTAGGTGTAAATATGTCCACTTCCATCGAGTTAGTGCTTAATTAGTATGTGATCGCATCCACTTTCCACTAAACTGCGAACTGGAAATCAATCAATTGTCTAAATATAACAAATCTGTAAACCAATTAGATTTGAGTTTAGTCCATAGCAAAACGATCGAAACCTTGGGTGAGTAGTGAGCAGTGAACGCTCGTGTGTGTTTTTCGAATTCCTCCCAGCACGTGCTCGAGTTTTCCCCGAATTTCGTGCGACGTGGCAACAGCGTTCGCGAAATACAAGGGGTTTAAAAATAATGTATGAACTTGAACGCAGGTAGACCTCATCAGACTGGCACCACCACTAGCACCCAAGTCTAACAAAATCGATATTAGTGCAGTTGGAACATTCCTCAAGTTTAGTGGCGAAGTGTGCTCACATACACAACAATTTCGTCTAATTATTCGATCTGTAAACAGATATTCATGATTGTAGTTTAAGTGACAACAGCTGCCTGATCAGTCTGGATCCGTGGTGCTGCTGCGACTATCATGCGAGAAACAAGTGTGGCTCATATGTTCAAGGGAACCCTCCCTCAACTAATTGCTGTTGTAACCGGTAAGTGCTCAAATTTATCGCTTCTATTATTACATTAATTTCCCCTGTTTCTGGCAGATTTTTGATAAAATGCTCCGATATATCTATCAGGTTTTAGTTCACACGACGGGGCCACTGGTTCAAGGTGGATGTTGATTTTATTGTTTGTCTTGCGGCGATGATAATCCACGAAATGAACTCTGCCAATATTTTGCACTTTTGCCAAAAGTGTCACCATTTATTGTGAAATAATTTTCTGAATGAATTATGGATTTATCTTCAATATTCCACATTTACTCTTTGATTTGATTCGAAACAAAAAATAACTTGTGTAATTTTAATTTGCTGCCAAAACATAATTTTTTACATTTTGAATATAGTAACAGAATAAATTAAAATTGTTACATAATTTTGTCTGGACCAAACTGCTACGAGTTATGAGCATATTAAATACAGACCAGTTTAAAGAATAGCAAAGCGAAGAGTTAGTTCAATGTCATTTTTTTCATTTGGGCCGACTAGACAGAACTTTTAATTTAAATAATATAAATGCAAACGCAGAAGATTTACTAAACATATAATTTAATTATTCAAAAACATTTGTTAACAAACAGACGATAAGGTAAAAAGCATATTTATTGAAAAACTTAAATCTAAAAATCTCTGAAATTTTTTCCTGATTTTTATTTATTATTTTTAATATTCAGTGGTTTGCAAAATGCTGCCAATTCAGAATTCTTATACAGAGTCTATATATAAATCTAGACTTAACCACTACGAGAATTTGAAAATCAAGGAAAAAAAAATAATAAAAACTGTGCTATTAGATATTTTATGGTTTAAAGTTGTAATAGTATATTATGATACAAGTTTTATAAGAAGCATTTTGTCGCTCGCACGTGTTTAAAGCAGTAAGTGCGACAAAATGCCTTATAAACGAGATATCATACAGTATTTTTTCTACTTTGCACTTTTTTAAACAAAAAAATAAAATTTTTGGAATGTAGGGAATTTTGCGTCAGTTGGCGATATTGCGTGGTGGCTAGGTGGCTATGAAATAAATTAATTTGAAACGTCATTATTTTATTCGTAAAAATGAATTTCGAAGGTGTCGAAGACGTTTTGCAATGTACGGCGTTAGAAATACCGACCTTGACGGCAAATATGATGAACAGTTTACTCCCTGTGTGATCACACGCCAATATTGTTCAGTAAGTTGACGGCAAAACCTACCTAAATACAAAAATCTCAAAAGTAACAGTAAGTACCTTTTATTTTACTTTGTCCTATGATCTAAAGGTATGCGTAAGCACCACTATAATCATGTTCATTCGGAATATTTTTTGCGATGGTTAATTAAACCAAACACAGCAAAAATTTCGTATTTGAATAATTTCATTTGCGTTATACCGATTGACACTGACCGTTCGATGGAAAAACGGTTAGGTCGCCAACATTATAAGACTAAATTTCCCTCTTTTTAGTATAATTTTTATAGCACTGTTTTTGTTCATTACGAAACCCAAAACAGTTTCGTAATGGACCTTAGTATGAACGCAAAGTAGAAAAATATTTTTATCCGCAAACATCTCAAAAGTGACTTTTTCATGACTAAAATTTTACCTTTCAGGCCTGGAGTAAAAACTCTGTTTTTTTACTTTACCAATGTTCTCTTACAATTTCTGGAGAGGTACATTCTAAACCATCTACATTCGATGTTTTGCACCACTAACTGCACCTGTTAAATGAATAAAAACTTTCGATACTTACTCGTGACGCTTGTTATATAAACGTTGAGCTTCGCCTCATCACTTTTACTAGTTTTATTCCTAATAACATGATATACTATTGTAGAGTAGCAATGAAAAAGTTTATAAAAGTATTATCGAAATTTTACAATTCTTGCATATAAGAAAACCTACCTATTTAAAAATTGTCATCGCCAATTTATTTTCTGATAATTTTCTGTTTTCATACCAATTAAGAGTTACATTCATTTAAAGATAATGATTGTTGTTTAATAGTTAGAAGAGTATTAACGTAGAAAAATCTTAAACCAAGAAAGTACAATGAAGAATTAAAGAAAAAATAATCTTTTTCGTATGTACAATCTAATTAATATAACTAGGTCATTTGTCATATTATGCTAAAATACTTCAAATCCCTTTCTATTTTACTTTTATAAATTATATTTAATGTTGTTATCATCAATGAATGTTTAAAATGTGACTTACGTAAAGCGCTTATAGACTATAGACAAATATTGGTTTTTCTAATTTAAAACATTTACAAAAAAATACTTTGAGTTTTGGGAAGTAGCAAATTGACCATGAAATATGTAAATGAAACAAGCAGATTTATTCATCTCAAAAAATACAAGTTACGTTGAGTATAAATAATAAATTTTTGATTGAACAAATATGTGACAACACCAAACTCGGCTACGGCTATAACTATCCACCACTTATAACGAAACAAATTTTTCATCATACAACGTACATTTTTACGAAAAATAATAAATTGCAATGGCAGACAACGAACTCGTTATAATAAACATAAAAGACGTCCATGTAAAATTAAATTGATTTAATTGCAAGTTGCAGTTCGGAAAAACTAAGCCGAAATAAATTTTAAAACAGTTGTTTTGTGATTTCTTGAGGTTCGCTATAATCCAAAAATTATACTGTATTTTTTTGTTTAGAATTTTTCCAATTTATAATATTGCAGTTATGAAATTTGCCGTCTCTGGGCCGTAACAATCTAGCATTAAATCCGATTTCAATACAACTTTGCCACTTTACGTCTTTATTATTTTAATGTTTCTTGGGTGAACTGCTTTTGCAACTACCTCCGTCATTTTACACTTCGCTAGTCTGTTATTAACTTCTAACTCCGGCGAATTCTACCGGTCGTATCTTTGCAAATCGTTTTCATGCCCTGCCAGATCATTTCGCCTGGAAATCAATGTAAACCCGTCTTGATAGATTAAAATCGCGTAAAAAAAGAATTTATTTTAATAAAACTGTAATCTCGAAAACTTGGAAATTACAAGTGCACTTGTAGTGTTAGTGTAACTGGCGTTCGGCAAAAATATAATAAAATCTACCACCGGTTGTGAAAAGCATACACAATGGAAGAGCCACTCAGTGCGTAATTTATTTCGCTCTTTTGCCAATTCGGACTCGTATATGAGCACTTTGTCGCTGTTCGATTATTGTTGAGGGTAAAAGATTTTTACCAATTTGCATGTTTCGCTGGGACACGGGAAGTTTAATGACGTCAGATTTACTTGAATTCTTGCATGTTTGAGTATGCTAACGACTGCCAAGAGATTAGGAAAATCCGGAACATTTTCACTGCGATTAGAAAACTGGAAATGGAAATGGTTTCATTTGCTCGGAGCTAATATTTATCTTGTTACGTTTGCTGCAACCTCAAGAAGTCGGAATAACCGTGACAATGTAGGTCAGTGATTGGCACTGACACTGACCTTACCAAGATTAAATAAAATTCGAGTCACTTCATTGGTGATTTTATAAAATGTTATTACTCGAAAAACTCGACCCTTTTTATGTGAATTTAGCGTGGAAAAGCGATAACGATGAAAAACTTGTTTGAGTGGATCAGGAAATAACATTTTGTGTCGCTTAACAGAAATTTATTTTATTTAAACCTACCTAATCGGAACCTAAATCTAAGCTTTTACTAAACCTAAAATTGGATAAATGGTTAGCTTAGTAACAAGAATCACATGCAACGAAATTAGATTGTTGACCCAACACACATAAAAATAGGTTTTTAATTATTTAATTATCATTCACACCTCTATTGACAACATTTGTTAAATGGAAAATGTGTGTGGTAAATTACTATTCAAATTAATTAAATATACATTTATTATACATAATATTATTATGTTATTTATACATTTATGAAATACAATATTTCTCAAAATAGCCTTTAGGAAGTAGTGACAAGATGCTAATTTAATTAAATTTTAGTTCTGCTAACCCAATGTTTTAACAATAAAATATCAATAAATTTAGCTGTTGCGAGATGACAACGACCTCACTTGTCCTAAATTAACAAAAGGCACAAGAAGTTAAAGTTCATGGAGAACACTTGGAATCAAAAATGGAATTTGATTAAATTAGGGCTTGTAACAATAAATTTATCACTCAATTTATTTTGCTGTTGAAGCTATCGTGAAAGAAGAATTATCTATTACTTGAGAATAACTTTTCTGATAAAAATGTCGCAATTAAAAAATGGAATATTTATAAAAACAATAAAATTAACCGCAACTAACAGGTGTTTTTTTAAATTTGGCGTCATAGCTATCTATGAAAATCTGATTATGAACAAATTATCGTATTGAAAGTTATTAATAAATTTGACACTTTGCTAGGCGTATTAAAAATTGTGGTTTGTTCACAACACACTCATATCACCGCTAACCATGATGCCAAATTTAAATAAACATCCGTTATAAAACCTGATGCACAATTATGAGAATGTGAAAGGACTGGCGAAATATTATTATCAGAGGAAAATATTTACCTCATAAACCTTTTTCAAAGTTCATAATATCATAACGTGGCGTTTTTGAAGAGATTCCATGCAAATAACTCCTTTTTCGTCTTCCTGCAAAAGGAATAAATTTTAATTAAAACAGAGTAAATTTCTCTGACAAAAGTTTCCCCGTTCTCGTTCAACATCCCCATTGTCAGTTTACCTGTTTCCACACAATTATCAACGACACAATTGTCTTAATAATTAAAACTATTATAATTAAAACTATTATTTGCGAAAATATTTCAGTTGTTTTTTACATACAGAGTGGAATCTTTAACTGGAATAAAATTCATAATTTGAATATAAGAGATTTTTGTAAAAAATCCGGAAGAGATCAATTTTTTTTTCCTTGTGCATCATTTGACACATATGTTTTTTTTGTTATTTTTTTTGTTCTATGCATAAACATAGGCCGCTCCACAGGTAGTTATCTTATAAGATGCAATTCGAGGTGTAAATATGCAAAAGTATCTCAAGAGCACAGTTTAAACAATTATTTGCAAAACAATAATACGCAACTTGCTTTCAACTTCATGTAACTTTTCTTAGAACTCGCTGAAAGAAACCAAGAAACTTACCTCAACTTTTCAAACTTATTGAAAGTTTAAACTTTGTAAGACAAAAAAAACTGCACAAAGATTTATTGTGTAATGGGGAGTTACCCAAATTTTTAAAAGACAGTTTCAATTCATAGTTTATGAGGCCTTGGAACCAATTGTAAAACTGGAAAATTATACTTGTGAAAGTGTGTAAAAATATAGAAAAATGATCCCTAGGTAGAATAATTTCAGTTTACTGTTATAAACATTACGTTTTTATATTTATGTAATGAAGTTTTCTTGTAATTATTTGAATAATTATGAACGGCACTTGATAACCTTGGTTGTTGAAAAAGAAAAATTCCTTATTTTATCCTTTCAATACTCAAGTCGAGTAGTGCAGTGAATGAGTTCTTTGATCCATTCATTAGAACAATTAATAAATATTGTAATAAGGAAAATGTAGTAAGACTTACATTTTTATCCTTAAATGAAATAGCTTCAAGTTGCCTACCTAGAGTATCCTTATTTTTTCTCGATTCCCCCAGGTCAAGTCTGAATCATCCGCCCAGAGATTCAATTCCAGGACTCTCACCACTAGAGTTATAAAATTGAATCGAAATTTTCCTCTTCACATATTCCCCACAATATTGAATCTTAAAAGTGTTACTTCGCCTAATTCCCCAAAAACAATAAAACTCCCCGATTAACCTTTCAATCCCTTTCGTTAAAAATGTTTCCGCTCGTTTTCCTTCCAACGATCATTCTGTTTACTCCCTCTATTGAGTTAATTGTCTTTCCATTAGCTCTTTCCTTTCGCTATAAAATTTCTTTTTTTTTCCAGGTACCGTGAGTGCAATATCCGATGGCATGCAATACGGTTGGTCGGCTCCTCTAATCCCCGTCTTACAATTGCCCGACAGTCCTGTGAAAATCACCGAGACCGACGCCGTATGGCTGGAAAACATCTACATGATCGGGGGAATGGCCGGTCTCCCCATCACCATCTACTGTGTCGATAGGATAGGCCGCCAGAAAACAATCATCGGCGCTTGTATCACCAACCTAATCGCCTGGATCATCATCGCAGTGGGAAACTCCGTCGAGTATCTACTCCTCGCCCGGTTTTTAACGGGTCTCGCCGGCGATGTGAACTTCGTCGCCGCCCCCATGTACATAGCCGAGATCGCTGATCAGAAAATCAGAGGATTCCTCGCCGGAATTATCTACTTGATGATGCTGTTAGGAATATTAGTAATTTATTCCGTGGGACCCTTCGTTCCGGTCTACGCCTCCTCAGTTGTGGGAATGGGTCTTTTAATTTTCGAACTCCTCACTTACCCCTTCATGCCCGAATCTCCCTACTACCTACTAGGAAAAGGTAAATATGAAGCAGCGCAAAAGTCCCTCAGACGGCTTCGGGGCACCATGGACGTCGACAAAGAACTCCAAGAAATTTCCAAAGCGGTTGAAAGACAACGAAGCGAACGCGGAAGACCCCAAGATCTCATCTTAATCAAAAGTAACAGAAAGGCCTTACTCATCATGAGCGTCCTAAACGCCGCTCAACACCTCAGTAGTATTAGTGTGATTTTAATGAACTTGCACAAGATTCTAGAAGCTGCAGGTTCGGTCTATATGAGCTCGAAAGTGGCCGCTATCATATTCGCAGCTGCCATGTTAATATCAGCATCTTCGGCATCCTTCATCATCGATAAATACGGGCGGAAAATTCTCCTTACCACCTCGAGTCTTTTAACCGGACTTTCGCTCCTCGTCATTGCCATCTTCTTCCAACTCCAGAATTCCGGAGTTGACGTTGCTGCAGTCAGCTGGATCCCGATTGCCTCTGTCATGGTCTATGCTGCAGTTTTTAAATTCGGACTAGGAATGGTGCCTATAGTCATGACAGCTGAGTTATTCCCCGCTAAAGTCAAAGCGATGGGAATGACACTTTCCGATTTAATGTACCTCCTTTTCGGCTTGATTAGTATAGAAATGTATCACGTTTTGAGTGAGGCTTATGGAATTCAAGTTCCATTCTTTATTTTTGCCGCTTCTTGCTTGCTCACGGCGGCTTTCTGTGCCTTTGTCATTCCGGAAACGAAAGGAAAGACGCTGGAAGAAATTCAGTTTATTTTGAAGGGAGAACCGTATGAGCCGCCACATGTTATCGAAAACGGTATCAAAAACAACGAAATCGTCGATAGTAAAATTAGTGATTGTACACATTTATGAGAATCGTCAGTATGATTTAGTTGCTCTAAGTACACTTTTGTAAATTCGACAATATTTATAGATGGACGGAGGACATTAAAATGTTCCGTAAGGTGATACCGACTGATTTTAGAATGTTACAGAATTGTGAAACAAAGTTTACTTATCGAATATTTACATCAAATTATTCTGCTGCTATATTAGATAGGATTTTATTATTAGCCGAACGAAATGTGATTTAGATCTATGCGTATAACATCATAGGTATTAGGATATTACTTAATTTACTTCCAGAACAACTATTAAAGTTCAAATTTTGTGATTAAGATTCGCAAGAAGCTATAGGTATTAGGTACCTATATTTTGTAATACTTTCCATGAATCTACTTAGATATAACGTTTGTCCACATATGTTTTTTTTTTATAAGCTTGTTAAATTTCGAATAAATATTTTAAATATTTAAACCGGTTTTTGTTTGTTTAAATAGGATGATTGAAGACGGAACAAAAAAGTAGGTGGTCAAAAGAGGGAATAGTTTATCCATTACATTCTCATATAAAAATATTATCAGATAAAATTAGAAACAAATAGGCACGCTCTGTCTCAATCAAAATAAAAATGAAAATTTTTGCTGTGTTTAATCTGACTAGAAATCTTCATATTGATAAAATGCCCACAAACTATATTTTTGTACTATAAGTATTGCAGAATCCACATCTCAGGACAGGACGATATTTAGTTTTTTTTGATATTTTGGTTTTTTTGGAATAACATTTTTTTGATCAATTTTTGTTTTTTCTGTAGCACCCCACGTTATGTTACTTTTGGCCATAATAATTGTTCAATTTAAGAAATAAACATTGAATTTAATGATAAAAAAAATTGTTTATATTTTTACAATAATTTACAATTAATTACAAAATAATTCTGATGTCTATAACTCTATATCTTATGATCAAAACCTAAGTTGTATTCACAGGTATCAAAACATTTAAACAAACTAACTAAAATAAAGCTCGATAGCATTCATTGATAATAACCAACAAAATTACTGAGTATATTTGGTTGCATAAGTACAGAATAAAATATACAAATATTTAAATACAGGGTGTTTCACACAACTTTACGAGTCTTGAGCCTAATATACGCACCCAAAGATACAAAAGTCACAAAACACTGGATACAGAAAATACACATTTAATTATTTAATTTTTGGAAACCCATTACAGTAGTTGTCAAACTAATCAATGCTTCATTAATAGTCATAAATTGCAGTTATTCAGAAATAATTATTATTTGTTCTATCAAGAAACGGTATGAATATGACTCTAGTTTATCTATCTTAAACATTAACCAACTAAAAACGTAATTTTTTTAAGGGTGAACAAACTAATATATATGTTTTATGAATATGTTTTATTGATTACATCTTACTGGCGCAGGCCTCGTAAAATTATGTAAAACACCCTGTATTACATATTTTTTTAATTGGTTACCTATCACAGAACGACATACGGCCGATATGCAAAAAAATCGGACAGACTGTTATCATTACTTATTAGCCTACGTCTAAACCACACGTTAGAAGTTTTGCGAGTTCTAACAATGATAATAATTATCTGGAAATTTGTATCGAGCCATAATCGTTAAATACTGCTCAGTGAAAATACAGGTGAATATAAAGTATGGAACCAAGCGGTTTTATTTTTAATCATTTGCCTCCAGAAAATAATAATTAATATAAATTAAAGTAATATAAAAAATACGACCGTATTTTTAGAACGAAATTTTGTTTTGTTTTTGAGTTATTCGATTTTTTTTTGTCAAAATTGCAATTTATGTAAAAAAAAATTTTTGAAAAAATTAAATATAAAGCAGATAGTTGTAATCCTTAGAGTATAACTTTTACGAAAAAAATGATTTTATAGTGGGTTGCCATTAAAAAAAATATTTTCTTTTGTAGAACTCAAAAACAAAAAGAAATTTCGAAAAATTTTATTCTTGTTAAATCATCACATTTTTATAGTACTTTATCACTCATCAATTAGTTTTTTCAAAAAATAAATAGTTTAAGCAAAAAACCTTTGGTTCCATTCTTTTTATTCACCTGGTATATATTTTTAAGATAGTGGATTCTGATTCTGGTTATTGCGGAACATGGTAGAACTTTCTTGTTATTTAAATTAAAAAACTATATCTTTTTATTGCGTTGTTAAATGACAGTCATCTCTATCGCTAAATTTAGTTGTTTTCAAGATATTTAGACTTTTGAATTTGCACATTCCTCCTTTTAAATATTTGAAATCGTATCTCGCCATTTGAAAGAGAAAAGGTAAATCTTTCCTTCAGCGTATTCATTGACATTATGATTATGAAAAATTTTATACAAAATAATCTTTTAGCAAATGAAAAGGAAAAGGAAACTATAAAACAGCAAACTGTTGATAGTTCTGAAAAAGCAGCTATGAGTGTATGCAAAAATTTTAACTTGTTAGAAAATAAAAAAAACAGTTGCAAAACACAATCCTAGATACATGTGTTATAAATATATTATTTTTGTTTCTTTGTCACGGTTGAAAACTTCTCAGAACAAAAAACGCGTTTAATTTACAGCCTCGGCTAACGCCTCGACCTTAGAACTTATCTCTGCTAATCATTTTCAACCTAGCTCAATATTTGTATAATTTTTATGATACAAATAAAATAGATATAATTATTTTGTAACAAAAAATAATAGCTACTTGACCTAAATCTGTTTTAAAATATCTACTTATTTCAGTTTATTTTATTAAAATTTCTTTTATTTGTTATTTATTTAAATAATAACAAATATTTCAAAATTTCATTTTCTTTAACGGAAAAAAGCTCACACCGAAAAATACTCATACGGAAAAAAACCCACACAGAAATAAGCCCACATAGAAAAAAACGCACTGAGAAAAAACCTACATAGAAAAAAACCCAGAAAGGAAAAAGCCCACTTAGAAAAAAAAACGCACAATGAAAAAACCCACCCAGAAAAAACTCATATGAATAAAAGCCCAACTGTCAAAAAGCCCAAGCGAAAAAAGATCACAGAAAAACAACTCACAGGAAAAAACAATCTCTGCTGTCGTGGATGAATTTTTATAATCGATCAGATACCAATAAAAATGTTTTAGAATAAACTTTTGCTGTAATCCTATTCAAGAAAAGTATAAAATCAAGAGTGTAGAGCTTATTCCACATCTGGTGATAAAATGACAGTGAAGAAACTTGGAATGCCCACACTTCGTAAAGATAATGAAACTCATGGGCGTGCATTTTTTCTCTAAAATTTGCTTACTTGTCATTTTGCAAGAGTTTAGAAGCGGGTGATCGCAAATAAAGACCAATATTTAAGTAGATCAAATCATTTAGATGTAATCGTTAATGAACTTACATAAACCTCGATAGCAGCGATGAAATCGAATTTTGCTCTAGTAATTTTGAGGGCGAGGATTGTTAGAAATATCATTGTTAAAAATTATTTTTATGCTTTAACAACGTAATAATTTGTTTATCATTCTTCATCTTATGTATGAGTACCTACTTATGTTATTTTTTTAAAGAATAACAGTGGTTTTGAAATACATTTTATTACGATGCCTCTGGACATTAATTTTTTTTAATAGTAAACATACTTTTAGTGTCAAAATTCAATCAGTTTTGACAACGTCAGTTCGCCTCCAGATTTGGAACAAGCTCTGCCTCTTTTTCTTTTGCGGTTGTGACTCAATGTAATTAGTTTTCTTAACAAAGTAACGCGCACAACTCCCAAATTTAACATTTTTTGTACTGTCGCTACTCAAAACATCGTATTCAGGTAACTCTAACTTGATAATAACTAAAGAAAGTTTGGTGAGACTAGTGAAACAAATTTTTATTTAATAAATAAAGAAAAGATATTGTTCATATAACTATGTCTGACGATTTATTTATCGTTGGTGAAACTGACAATAAGTATTGTATAAAATTTTGTGTGCCCCCAAGCCGCCGTCCCCAGTTTTATAATGTTAAATAGCACACTATCTACTATTTCTAAAAAATTTGGTTACCCAAATATCTCAGAAACTATAGCACACATCTACCAAAAATAAAAAGCGATTTAAAGTAATTGACAGACTGAACTTTTGTAATTTTTTTAAATACTTTTCGCTTGTTACCTCCGAGTCGCCACCCCGATGTGTTAAAGATTTATATTAGAAAATTTTTGATATGGTTCAATTTTTTTGGACAATGTCAATTCAATTTTATTTCTTATTTTTTTTATTTAAGAAAATTATCAGTACGCTATTCAAACTTCTCGCAGCAAAGCGAGTTGTGAATTTGAAAAAGTTGCCGCAAAATAAAACTACTATCCTGTAAATTGAAAGAAAATGTTATTTATAAAGTAGAGGAGCACAAAAAAAAGTTTACTAACGAAAACTAGAAAGAAAATGTAATACCCATTTACATCAAACACCGCTTATAGTGAGCTTCTTTCTCTGTGGGTTTTTTGTATTTGGGTTTTTTAGTAAGTGAGTATTTTTCTGTGTGAGCTTTTTTCTATGTGAATTTTTATCCGTGTGGGCTTTTTTCGATGTGGGTTTCTTTCCATGTGGGATTTTTTCACTGTGCGTTTCTTTCCTTGTGAGCTGTTTTCCGTATGAGTTTTTTTCCATGTGAGTTTTATTCGACGTGGGCTTTTTTCTTTTTGAGCATTATTTCATGTGAGTTTTTTTCTGTGTGGATTTTTTTCTTGTGGGCATTTATGTTTGTGAGCTTTTTTCCTGTGCGCATTTTTCGTGTGGGCTTTTTTCTGGTCACCATAACTCGAATATTAGCGATTTAAACCATCTCGGACGATGCACAGGTGACTCGGCTAGCCTCGTCACCTAGCATCGTCCTCGATTATTATAAATGGCTTAATTATTCTCGTTATATTAATAGCTATAAATTCGTTGTTGTTGTTAAAAATTTATTTTTGAAAAGTTGCTTTACTTTTGTCGCATATAATTTTGATCTATTTCAATAAAGAAAACATTTTAAAACCTAAATGATAGCGGATGCCGATAAAAATATTTTTTTATATGTTACTTATAATACAATAATACAAATAAATACATTTGGTCCGATAATAATAAAAGAAAATACAGGGTGCGCCAGAACTCGCGCCCCAGAGAAAAATTTCAAGTAAGATACGATACCTGGAACATGGAAAAAATGTTTAAAAAATTCTATCTGTCAAAAAAATTTTGACATTTATTTTTTGACATTTGACATTTTTTATGTCTATTTAATGATACTAATGATCCTGTATATGCTTTTTTACAATTATTTAATAAAGATAAAAAAATTACCACTAAAAGCCACAAATAACATTAAACAAAGTTACAATTCAGCATACAGCTTCCTTGTTTCCTCTTCTAATAGCGTATAGTAAAAAAACTTATTAAAAATTATTTAAAAATTATTTCTCCAACAGAAATAAATAGAGTCAAAGTGCAAACTTTAAACTCTCATAACTTCGAAATTTTTATAGATAAATTTTTTTTAACATCTTTATTTTCCATGTTCCAGATAACTAATCTTATATGGCATTTTTCTCTGGGGCGCGAATTCTGGCGCCTCCTGTATAAAGAATTTTTTTTAATAGTTGTTTCACTTTTGTCCGATAGTGTAAAGCAACTATTAATCTAAAACCGCATTTTAAAACTAGATGCAAAAAAATCTTGCTTACTTATTTATTAGTTCTCTAATTAAAAATCCATTTTGATTTACTTAACTATTAAATCTTGATACTTTTTAGATAGTAATTATCAATCTAGAAATTAAAAAATCAGCGTACTGACATTCAATTAATATTTTAATTAACATTAATTTATAATAGCATTTTTGCATGTAAGGATCGTGGGGCACAAATTTCCATACGAACAAAAAAAACTTTGATTTTTAAACCATATAATCAAAAAAAAAACTATTCGTCGTTATTTATATCTGTTGTATATTTTTAAACAGTTAAGTATATATGAAAACGACCTTTACACACATCGTTGGTGTGAATCCTAAAAATGAGACACCACAACAGTGAAAATTTACCTTTTGTAAAATAGCAACAGTGCGAAATCATGATTACCGGGATCACATTACAAGTTATCTCAACACTCATAGGTAAATACAAGCCTGTTTTAATATGAATCTAAAAACAATTTTTGACAGCAACACTGAGTGCATTTGTTGACGGTATGCATTTTGCTTGGACCGCACCGATAGTTCCCGTCCTACGTAAACCCAACAGTCCAATAAAAATAACCCCAAATGATGTGACACTTTTGGAAACCATCTATCTCTCCGGAGGAGTCGTCGGTTTGCCATTAACAATCTTCCTCGTAAATAAAATTGGGCGAAAAAAATCGATTTTAACAGCCTCGGCTATTAACTTAATCGCTTGGATAATTATAGGAACCGCCGACAAGGTGCAGTATTTATACTTAGCACGGTTTTTGGGCGGATTAGAAGCGAATGTTAACTACGTTTCAACGCCGATGTATATCGCCGAAATCGCCGAGGAAAAGTTTAGGGGAGTTTTGTCGGGAAGTTTGTACGTGATGGTGACTTTTGGCATGCTTACCATTTACTCAGTAGCCCCATTTATGCCCTTCTATGTCCCTTCTGTGATAGCAGCAGTGTTGCTGGTGACCCAACTTCTCACATTTTGGATTTTGCCAGAATCTCCCTACTATCTGATGAAGAAAAGACAAGAGGAAAAAGCCAAAGCAGCTCTATTAAAACTGCGAGGAAATCTCGACAAATTCCAAACAATATCTTCAGCCATCCAAAAACAACAAAAAGAGAAAGGACGCTTCCGTGAACTTTTCTCAGTGTCAAACAATCGGAGAGCTTTCACAATTGTGTTATACCTAACTGCAGCACAACATTTCTCCGGGATAACTCCGATTTTAATGAACTTGCATACAATTCTAGTTGATACCGATTCAACTTTTTTTAATTATAACGTGACTGCTATTTTTTTCGTTGCTGTGATGCTAATTACATCGATTCTAACTTCGTTTTTCCTTGACAAACTCGGGCGGAAAGTTCTTTTAATTATCTCGAGTATGGTTTGTGGTTCGTGTTTGTTAATTATGGCCGTTTATTTCCACTTAAAATCATTGGAAAAAATTGATTCTAGTACATTTGGTTGGATTCCTTTGATTGCTGTAATGACATATGCTGCAGGATTTCGTAGTGGTATTGGTTTAGTACCGATTGTATTAGCTTCGGAATTATTTTCAATGAATGTTAAAGCTCTTGGTATGTCCTTGAGTGACGGAATGTATGTAACTTTTGGATTTATTTGTATAGAGATGTATCAAACCATTGTTCATTATTGTGGATATTATGTTCCTTTTTATATTTTTACAGTAGTTGCATTTGTGACAGCAGCTTTTGCTTTCTTTGTCATTCCAGAAACTAAAGGTAAATCACTAGAAGAGATACAAACACTATTGAAAAAACAAAAACAAACACTCACGGACGATAAATACGAAAATCACAATCTTGTAATTGCTTAGAAAGTTATATTTATTTTTGTTACAACACACAAAAAATAAATTAATTTGTATGCGCTTAGTTATTTTATTTTAAAAAAAATAATATGTCATTAGATTCATTGAAATCGCGTCCCAGAGAAAATTTTCAAGTAAGGTAGGATACCAGGAACATGGAAAAAATGTTTAAAAAATTCTATCTGTCAAAAAAATTTTTACATTTACTTTTTGACATTTAACATTTTTTTATGTCTATTTACTGATAATGATGATCTTGTATATATTTTTTTAGAATTATTTATTAAAGGTACAAAATGTTTGCCAATAAAAACCACAAATAACATTGAACAGAGTTACAATTTAGGATGCAGCTTCCTTTTTTCCCTTTTTAATAGCCTATAGCAAAAAAAAAACTTGTAAAATTATTTTTTCTACAGAAATAAATAGAGTCAAAGTGCAAAATTTAAACCTTCATAACTTCGAAATTTTTATACTTAGATAAAAAAAAATTACATTTTTTCCATGTTCCTGGTATCTTACCTTATATGGCATTTTTCTGACACACCCTGTATGTCATTTCATGGACAACTGTCTTTAAAAACTAAATGCTTTGCTAAGTGTACAAATTTATTTACTTACAATTTTTACCTCGAGGTTTGTTGTTTGAAAATTAGTTACCTCTAACAATCCAAATTTTGACCTGCCCTCTTCTAAATACTAGACAAAGCTTTTTCCCTACATTACGTAATTGTTGAAGGGGAAGTTTAAGACAACCACGTAAGAAATCCACATAATTTTTACGGGAATAGGTTTCAAATGAGGCTGTGTATAAGCCCGGACTTTTTGTGGCCATGGAACTTACAAAAAACTGCTTATAGTTTTTTTAATTTTCTCGCCAAAACAATATCATTGAACATCAGGAATATAGTCAAACTCTAGTTTGATCGTTTACTAAAAGGCGCATTTGATAGTTTTTCCAAAAACCGCCCTAAATCGGTATCTTACTCCCCCAAAGATACCCCTTCTTAATCTCTCGGATATGGAATTGTAAAACAGTAAAAAACGTTTTAGTATTTCTTATTTTATCTTGCTAAACACCTACTTGTAATAAAAAAAATCCATAAAATATTGAAGAAATGATACAATTCTGAAGCTTTTAACAAAAGATATATATGTATGTCAATCGTTTCTGAGTTGAATAAGTTCGGAAAGCATCTACCTACTTTACTGCAATAGTTTGACAAGGTTTTGCACTCTATTCAATTGATGTTCGCAAACATTTCATGAAATATTTTAATAAAGAGGAAGGGACGTTGCGAATATTTACCGACGTGCCGAATCTCAAAATGGTTACAGATATGTTATCTTTGTCAAAAAATTCCATTTTGTTTTGTATGGTTTTAATAAGATTTTTATTTACTCCAACAGAAGAAAAAAAAAGAAAATTCTAGAAGTTTATAATTATAATCAAATACAATAATATGTTTGAACAATTAGACTGAAATCCAGTAACTTGTTGGCTTACCAGGACTTTCCAAAAGAAATAGTAGTAATTGTCAGGTTGTGGAAATTTACAATTGCTTATAAAATATTATAGATATGTATATCTGGTACGGTTTACAACACACTTCATCATTTAATTTTAGTCAGTCTTTAATTATTTAGTATGCTTGGCAATCCAACCTAACGATGTTTAACAATTTGTTGTTTGCAAAACTATTTCAGTAGTTTATTACGTGTGGAACTAAAAGTTTTTAAAAACCTATTCAATTATAAATAAAACACAAGTTATTAATTGCAAAAATTGTGATTACTACCTACATATATTTAATTTTATTTGGTTGTCTATCTTTCATTTCCAAAAACTTTAAGGTAAGGCACCCAACCAATTGGGTGTCACGCACATTCATGATTATTAATATTATTACTTTAAGCGAGACCTGTGATTTGCATAAGATGGGTGCAGTGTTAATGCAGGAGTCTCTTGGAGGGCAAAGTATACCAATTAGAGTAGTTTTTTGATAAAATATCAACTACGTCCTTGAGATAAAATCTAAGTATACTCTTTTAACACCTACCGGGTGACTGTAAATGATTGTGATTTTTTTACCTCAATTTGGTGTCAAATTTAAAGTTTTAGTTTGACAACCTTGACTTTCAAATTTAAACTTCAAACTTTTATAGGCAATTGTTATTCATTTGAGACAGACAATCACTAACTTAGTCGACACCTGGCACATTCTGATATAACAAATTTTTACCAACTGATTTTTTGCCACAAAGATTTATAGTTACCCGGTATTACATAAAATATAATTGTAGACAGGGTGTTACATTTCTAGTGCTCAGCAAACGCAATTTTCTACAATTTTTTCCTTCAATTTGAAGGCAATTATTTATTTTATTCGTATTTAACCTTGAAACGCTCGTAATAAGTATAATAACCATTACATTTAAATTAAGTGCAAAATTTTGATACGAACGTTGATAAAATTTCGTTGATATGTAGTTGAACTGTTTAAATAGTTTTAATACTAACTATGTAATGTAGGTGAGTGTTCCCAAACTTTAACAACATACAGATTTTTAAACTAAAAATATTTTTATTAATAACATTTATTGTTAATGTGAGTATAATTTTTGTAATTCTACATTTTCAGAAACTCACAAACATCCTATTGATGTATGCTTATCTTCAACACTCAGACGCAAAGGATGTCATATCTATTGTTGGTGTATAAAAAATATTCCAACCACGCAACTGATAAAGTTGCTACTAAAGTTAAGTTTAAACCAACATAACGGACCCTACACCTAACACAGACAGCTTCCTTTCATACGAAAATTTGCGAAATTGTGACGTAAGTCATGAAGAATTCCACGTATTTAACATACACGTCTATTTATAAATCAAGATGATGTAGCAAAATTGGAAGAAACCATTATTCAACGCACCCAGCAATTTTTTCCACCATCACAATTTGAAATATTATACCTGTTACGTGTCAACAACAATTTAGATATGGTTTATTATCATTCTATGTTGCGTTTAATGTACAAGTGGATACTCGTGCGAAACGTGTGCTCGGTGTATTGCCAGATCCAAATCTATTTTCACATCAGTCAATCATCTCCATGATTCCAACTTCTTACCTGTCCACACTAGTCTCGACCTCCACTTGCGTGTACGTCATTAACTGTCATTTCCCAATTTCATAATCATTCCGCTCAAAAAATGCAGAAAAAACAGAAAACTGGCCTCAAGCAAATGTTCGCCGGAACGGGGCCCCAAATCCTCGCCTCGGTCGCTGGTAAGTACTTTTTCATTAATTTACTCAGTGATAAACCCATTATTATAGCGACAATAAGCGCAATGAACGATGGCATGCACTACGGCTGGTCCGCACCCGTCATACCCATACTCCAATCCGAAAACACACCCATCCAGATATCAAAAATCGATGAAAGTTGGCTGGAAACCATGTACCTCGTCGGTGGGATCGCCGGCCTTCCCGTCACCATCTACTTAGTAAACAAAATCGGCCGCAAAAACTCCACAATGGTGTCGTCGATTACAAGTCTCGTATCGTGGATTTTAATAGCATTGGCATCCAAAGTTACTCTACTGTACGTTGCCAGGTTTCTGTCTGGCCTAGCAGGTGACATGGCTTTTGTGGCGACCCCCATGTACGTTGCGGAGATCGCCGACCAAAAAATCCGGGGGCTTTTGTCATGCCTCATCTACCTGATGATGCTTTTTGGGATTCTCCTCATCTACGCAATTGCCCCATTTACCCCTTTTTATGTCCCGTCGGTAGTCGGTGGGGCATTATTAGTGATCCAGCTGGCTTCTTTCACCTTCATGCCCAAATCTCCATACTACCTCATCACAAAAAACAAGATGGACAAGGCCCGGAAAGCCTTGAATCGGCTGAGAACGACCAAAGATAACGAAATCGAATTAGAGGAAATCAGCAGAGCGATCGAACGCCAAAGAAAGGAAAAAGGACGACCGCAAGACCTACTCCTCGTCAATAGTAATCGCAAAGCCTTGATTGTGATAACAATGCTCAACGGAGCTCAACATTTCACCGGAATCAGCGTCATGTTGATGAATATGCACACGATTTTGACCAATGCTGGGTCAGTTTATCTCACGTCAAACGCAACAGCGATTATATTCTCAAGTTGTATGCTCATAGCGGCGACAATATCTTCGTTCGCCGTTGACAAATACGGAAGAAAGTTCCTCTTAATCTCCTCCAGTATTCTAACTGGAATTTGCCTCCTAGTTTTAGCAACTTATTTTAACTTGAAATACGTCGGTTACGACATGCGTGCTGTAAGTTGGATTCCTATCGGCTGTGTTATGGTGTATGCTGCTACTTTTAAGATGGGATTAGGTATGGTACCTATTGTGATAAGTGCTGAGATTTTTTCAAATAAGGTTAAAGCTATGGGAATGACTATAGCTGATGCTATGTATCTCATTTTTGGGATTGTTTCGATTGAATTATACAAACACCTAAGTGAGTCATACGGGTATCATGTACCGTTTTATCTATTCGCTTCTTTTTCTTTTATTACCACAGTATTTGTTGTTACTATTGTACCTGAAACTAAGGGAAAATCGTTGGAAGAAATCCAGCTTTTGCTTAAGGGACAAAAAACTGTCATTAGCCATGACGACAATGATGTGACAACTAGTCTTACAAAAGTGTGATGTTTACAACGTTAACTTGTAAAGATAAATAATTATTTTTGATAAAAATTGTTCCTTTTTAATTTGAATCTAGAGATTTTATCTCAGATTTGTATCATATCTGACTTATAGTATAGTATAGCCAATTATTTTTTTGTGATTTTGTAGGAAAATATACACTTGATATAAGTACACACATTATGCAGGTAGGAAAATGGTTTTTGACTTAATTTTAATTGGCACTTTTTACATGACATATTTTCTAGTTCCCTAAGGTATTGACCTGATTTAGATTTATAATAATGTAGTGAATAATAATGTATATCAATGTTGCTAGGTAACATTTCTTTTATGCTAAATATATTTATCGGACCGATAACCTTAACAAACTGGGTTATAAACAGTTTGCAAAATATGAAGAAATTGTTTTATCTTATCTGAAAAATAATTCTCATTCTAAATAAAAATTACTGTTACCACTTACACTTATTTGGACCATTTTGACCACCTCATCCCAATTGTTCCTTTTTTATAAACTTTTTTATTATGAACAACTTCAAAAGAGAGCAAATAATTACTAGGTACAACGAATATCGTTTTATGTACCTAAGTACTTATTTTTTTACACAAACACAGTCGGCCATAAATAAATGATTAGATTGTAACTTTATGAAAATAGCAAAACAGATATGTGAGGCCTGAGTAAAACACAATAAATAATATTACAGTTCTTTGGCGAATTTGACAAACAAAAAAATGTTTATTTGTTAATTGCGTATCTATCAGTAAATTGTTTTTTAAAAGCATTTTATTGTTCAAGCCCAAGGACATTTAAATTTGTTAATGTAAAATACTGAACGATCATTAAAACGCCACAGGACTAAAGATGTTAAATTGCCATTGAAATTTTCATTGCGTTCTAAAACAATAAAATATTTTTTTGGCAATAAATTAACGGACAAGTATAACCGTTAAGCAAGCACAATAATTAATTTAAATTAATTGATGTATATTGTTTCACAAGAATCCAGACAGTTTGATCCAAAGATTAATGATTTTCTTTACCATACAATAACACCAAAAACATCGATTCACCAAAGGCGTACTTACAGCTTTGTAAATTAAACAAAACCGGAAGTATATTTTAATGAACATTAAGCAACAAATTGCAGGACCGTATTTTCACACTCCGGTGGTGAAGCAATGCGAGACATTAAACATTCTCACTTTATTATCAACATCAGAGTCCGAAGTTTGTATCTGTGGGACTCGGTAGACCTTACCTCTTGTAATCCAAATGATATTTTCCCACGATACTATGTATAAGAAAGGAAAACGTCAATTTCAAACAAATGAGGCATCTGTGAAAAATTTGTACGTTATTAAGTAAGCACGGTTATAAAGTAATAATTTACTGTTAATAGAGAGTTTTTGCAAATCGTTTAGTTTAACGTTATCCTTAACGACAACGTCATTTAATTGTCGTGTGGTACGTCTTTCAAGAGCGAAAGGCGTACCTATTCCGTCAATTCAAAGACGTTTACGTAAACGTCTTATTTTTTGATTTCTTAGCAACGGCCATTTGTGGTAATACGTTAATAGTATATTATGATACGAGTTTTATAAGAAGCATTTTGTCGCACGCACGTGTCGCAGTAAGTGCGACAAAATACCTTATAAACGAGATATCATACAGTATTTTTTCTACTTTGCACTTTATTAAACAAAAAAATAAAAAAATAATAAATGTAGGGAATTTTGCGGCAGTTGGCGACATTGCGTGGTGGCTAGGTGGCTATGAAATAAATTAATTTGAAACGTCATTATTTTATTCGTAAAAATGAATTTCGAAGGTGTCGAAGACGTTTTGCAATGTACGGCGTTAGAAATACCAACCTTGACGGCAAATACGATGAACAGTTTACTCTCTGTGAGATCACACGTCAATATTGTTCAGTAAGTTGACGGCAAAACCTACCTAACCACAAAAGTCTCAAAAGTAATAGTAAGTACCTTTTATTTTACTTTGTCCTATGATCTAAAGATATGCGTAAGCACCACTATAATCATGTTCATTCGGAATATTTTTTGCGATGATTAATTAAACCAATCACAGCAAAAATTTCGTATTTGAATAATTTCATTTGCGTTAGACCGATTGACACTGACAGTTCGATGGAAAAACGGTTAGGTCGCCAACATTATAAGACTAAATTTCCCTCTTTTTAGTATAATTTTTATAGCACTGTTTTTGTTCATTACGAAACCCAAAACAATATCGTAATGGACCTTAGTGCGAACGCAAAGTAGAAAAACATTTTTACGGTTTGCAAAAACTCTCTAATATTATTATATTAACTTAATAAGTATGTTGCTATTTTGTTTATCTGAAACGCTCGTTAAGAAGCTATAAAAACGTCATACATTTCGGGCAAATGTGAGCTATAAATGGATTTTGGTAAATATAACACTTTTCATAGGTTTTTATTTTATATTATTAAAATAACTGTGATATTAATAATCTGATCATTAATTTTATTGATTCTAATAAATCAATATTTTTGCAATAAATGACTTTTTTCAGACTCTTAGAGAAAATAGTGTATACAACTCGCTAGAAAGTGCTTCTGCACTCGACTGACGCTTCGTACACATAAGACTTATTTGTTATTTGTCGTTTTCCATACTCGTTATGTATTATACTTTTACGAATTTATCTATCAGAAAAAAATTAATTGCCTTAGAGGACTATTTTTATTAATAAATAAATATTTACAGGTAGGCACAAACAAAATGTAATTATTTTGCTCCTAAAACAAACAACAAATTCATAATTATTTGACGGCGGCGTCCCTTTTTGCCCTTATCCGAGATTAGTTTGACAATATAGTCTGAGTCCACATGTTATTAAACTAGATTTATCAAGTGAAATTATTACAATACATAGGTAAGTACTAGAAAATAAATAGCTACATATCATATGAGAACCATATTTCTGCAGATTACGCTACCATTTTATTTAATTCCAATTTAAAATAAAAATTGTCATCTGGTATGTATCTAAAATTTGAATTTAACATAAATAATTGACTTCAAAGACAACTATTATCTATGCCATAGCCATCGCCACCTTGGCAACATCGCAACTGAGTTTTTTGAGGTGAAATAGGTCAAAAACATTTGATGTCTTTGTATAACTCCACCCCACTGACAAATTTTGAGCCAAAAAGCTCCACTACTTCATATAGAAAAAAAACAGTGGAAAGTGACAGCTGTGACGATGGCTATGGCACGTACAACTTAATATAGTTTTTTACATTTTGTTTTAATTAGAAATAAAATGTAAGAATGGCATATTTACGTAAGTGTATTTCAATTATAACCATATTTACTTACATCTATAAAGGGAAAATATTTTTATTTTTGAACTGGATATGCCCAAGAGTTGTTTACTGCTGCACACGTGTCGTATAAATTATTTACAGGAACACAGCTGTATTTTAAGTTGCCTATAAAAATTCAAAACACTATGTTCTTTCTAATGTAAGAATTAAGAAAGTTAAATGGTATTTATATTGAAAATATAGAAATGATATAGGTACATAGGTACCTATATTTAGATAAGAAATCAGAGATTGGACAAACAGTTCGCTTTAATTTGGGGAAAGCAGTAAAATTGGGGGACGATAAGAGCAATTTAACTTTATCAGTTTATAATTTGGGTAACCTAGTTGTGAACTAATTTCGGTAAACGATTTTTTCTGGTAAATGAATTATATTCGAGAGAAAACGCGCATTTAAGTGCGTCATCGCAGCTCAATTAACATAAGAACGAAATTAAATTTGTTAAGAGTGTAATAAGGGGCAAAAAGTTGAAGTAGTTGGATTGTTTCATAAAACGCGTTATTTTAATTAGATTCCTACCGAGGCCACCTGAATCTTTTCTCAAAAACTTTGCAAATTGGGTTTCTTTACAGTCGTAATTAATGATTTATTGCCTCGAGTCACAACAATAGGCGTTGTACAAAATAAACTTAGCTTTATGGCAATTAAATTTTCTATTTAAAACTTTCATCCGAAATTTAGATCTCCAACCGGTCTTCTGTTTACTAAAATTAACAAATTCAAATTGTTTGAGGAAACTTTTGATTTCAGCTCGAAGAGGAGGAAAAACTTCAATTCCTTTCACTGCACCTCACTCGTGGCTTTTCAGTGATAAATTATCCTGTCACATTACCATTATTCATGAACTTGTGCAATATTAGATATTTTCATCAATCTACCACGAGTTTTTCAGTTTTAATAAAAAAAATTGCGAAAACAATATAAATTTTCGTTTCATATACGAAAATGTCATTTTTTGCACGTGTATTAAGTAACCCTAAAATAACCATCAGGCTTTCATTACAACAAAATTTGAGAAATTGTTCCGTAATTTCGTATTTTAACGAGGAGCGTCGGACCATGATCAAAGACAGTTTCAAAGTTCGCTATTTATTCAACAAGAGATCGACTCTACAATTTAGACATAAGATAACAAGAAAAAGGTCTAATTAAGCCAATTTGTGATCGCTGCTAAAAATACTGATATACAAGATGTCTGAAATAAACGTTACAATATTTCGAGGACTGATTTCCTAGGTCAAAATAAAAAGAGATGTTCCCGTAGATTTATGTCCGAAAATGATTCACGCAGAAGTTAGAACCTCCTAAAGATCCTGGACAAATAGCCTTTTTTGTAATTATCACTAGTAATAGGTACACTTGGTTGCAAAAAAATCAGAAAATGTCAAAGGATAAGAATGTCAGATCTTTATATTTATCCATAGTTTGAACCAGTGGCGAATCGTGGGTTCAAAACTAGGTGAAAAGCTAAAAATTGTACATTTCTTTTTGAAGTTGTGATGGTTCCAACGTTTAATCTTTAAAAAGTAATTATCTCATTTACCTAACCAATTAATACAGGGTGTCAAATTTAAAACTTGCAATCGGCAATAACTCTAGAACTATAAAAGTTATTGAGAATCACTCAAAACCGTTTCGGTGGTTTTTAGGGAGAATCAAAATGGCTTGATAAGTGACGCTCGTCCACCCACCCTTCAAGACACAGCCACCTTAAGTTGACAATTTTAAATGGCACCACCCTACTTGCGATACATAGCCTTTCAAAAATGTCGTACAACTGCCTATTTGGTAAAGCCATTTTTCCAATTATTCAAAAACGAAGACGTTAAATTTTAATTTTTTTATTATATTCAAGGGTGGGTGGAGGTGTGTCACTTATCATGTCATTTTAATTCCCCCTAGGAACCACCAAAATGGCTTTGAGTGATTATTAATAACTTTTTCAGTTGAGAAAAATTGCCGATTGCAAGTTTTAAAATTGATACAGTGTATATTCGTTTAATGAAAATAAATACTAAAAGAAAAAAAACTGACAAATTTATTGTTTGTAGGATTCATTTTAGAAACGAATATAACGAATACCTAATGTTTCTAGAAGTTAAAAAAAATTCAGTCATTCACTGACACGATACACTTAATTAATTCTTGGAAAGATTCTAGCAGGTGGTCCATAAAAGTCTGCTGCAAACTGTTTTTCTATTTCTTTCTGAGATAATAGATTTTTATTAATATAAACGTCAAAAATTTATAATTTACACTCTAAATGTATTTTTTTTATTTGTAATAAATAAGCTGTTAAAAATAAAATTCTTTAAACAACTTTTTTTTAATAACTGTTTGTCGTATTTGCAACTAAAAAGGCACTTTACTTTATAGAAAAATAGTTATATAAAAAATATTTTTTACAAAAGTCGTTTCACTTATACACACTGAATACTTGCCTTTTGATTTTTCTGGTATTAAAACATTTTTCTTTTGAAATTGAGTGATTTAAATATTTTAACAAATTATTTGACATTATTTAAGAAATTTACCACTTTCTTATGTTATTATTAATTAGTGTGGAGAACAATTTTATTTGCATCAGTGGAATAAACGTCGTAAATTCTTCGGATGCATATAACTTACATTCTCGAAATTAAAATAGTTGTTTATTCCCTTGATACATAAATAATAATTATTATTTATTCTAGTTATTGAAATAAAAAATGAACAATTAAAATACGCATGCCTTATAAATAAAATACCTACCAACAATTAAAGATAAACTAGAAAAAAATAGTAAAGTTACAAACTTTTGATAACAGTCAGACTGAAAACTATAAAAAACACATTAGTAGTTTTCAAAAATGCTTTACTTTAAAAGAAAACTTGTAAAGCTAATGTGAGTGTGTACAAAACTGAACATACGTAAGAATACAAAAGATTTTCTGCAAACGTCAGAAAAATGACTCTTTTATGACTATACAAGTAAAAGTAGATTATCAGCACTCGAAATTTTTACTAAATCAATAAACACTTTTCAAAATCTTAACACAAATTCCGAAACAGACGCGTGACGTTTATTATGTTTTCATTGCAAAGCATCCAGATTATTTTGTTCATTTACTTAATAATTTTTGTGTTCTCTTTACTCCCAATCTGAATACGTTTGCGGATAAAATATTTAGTATATATTATTTGGAGTTAAAGTGAGTTTATGTGGCTCAGCTGAATCATTTGCTTCAAACTCCGTTCGGCAAAATAAACGTTCAGCTACGCCACATATACCATCACTTATACTCCTAATAAAATAATATACTATTTATCTCCTAATTGTGATTAGAAGTAGAAATGATTAATAAATGTTTCTCTTCTTTCAGTTTTTGATATAATAATGCGTTCAAATAGTCAAAATCACATTAAAAGTCTACACTTTTTCACCTTACAAAAACCCGGATACCTCTTGCAAATCTTAGCATCATTGAGTGGTAAATACTATAAATTATTTACTTAGCATTTTTCTTAATTATACATATTTTAAGCTTCACTTATTTTAATTTCGGAAGGCATGCAATACGGTTGGTCATCCCCCGTAATGCCTATCTTAGAATCAAACAATACTCCCGTCAAACTCAACGCAGATGATTCGGCTTGGCTAGAAACAACTTTCTTATTATCTGGACCTTTGGCATTACTTGTAACACCAATTTTAGTTGACAAAGTCGGTCGCCATAAAACAATTTTATTAATTTCTTGTATGTCTATAATCGGTTGGATTCTCATCGGAGCTGCGACCCGTGTGCAAATTTTATACGTCGCAAGATTTCTACTTGGTGTTGTTTCTGATATAATGTATACAACGGTACCGATGTACATTTCAGAAATCGCCGATAAAGAAATTAGAGGTTTTCTAAATGGAATTCTTTACGTCATGTTTTACTCTGGATTCATCATAATATATGCAGTAGCTCCATTAACACCTTTTTATGTACCTTCAATAGTGTCCGCAGGCATTTTATTTTTACAAATAATCACGTTTTGGGTCATGCCTGAATCGCCCTATTTTTTTGCAAAAAATCAACGTTATGATAGTGCAATGAAATCTTTGAAAAGACTGCGCATGAAAGACAACTGTAATATTGAATTTGAAGAAATTGTAAAATTCACAAAAACAAGTGAAATCAAAAGCAATATAAAAGAAACAATTTTTAAGAAAAGTACTCTCAAAGTGTTTGCTTGGGTAACCATACTGGTCACAGCGCAACATTTTTGTGGCTTTACTATTATCACAATGAATATATACACAATTCTCGAAGAAGCTGGTTCAATATATCTCGATTCATACACGACAGAAATATTATTTGCTTCGCTAATGTTGGTAGCAATGTGTGTTTTCTGCAAAGTGATTGATAAGTTTGGTCGAAAAATGTTGTTGATTTTGTCGTGTACCTTAACAGGAATAAATTTGCTAGGATTAGCAATTTATTTCCATGTTAAAAATTTAGGATATCATGTTGATTATTTTAGTTGGGTCCCTTTAGTGTTTATTATGTTTTATGCTCTTACTTATAATATTGGATTGGGAATGGTACCAAAAATTTTAATTTCCGAATTATATTCTATCAGAATTAAATCAATTGGTATGGCTCTTGGTGGTGGCACATTTGAATTATCCGCTTCATTGTCTATACTTTTTTACAAATATATCACAAGTGTTTGGGAAATGCATATATTCTTTTACATTTTTACTGGGACTGCTTTCGCTACTGCTTTATTTACTATTTTGATAATTCCAGAGACTAAAGGAAAATCATTAGAAGAAATTCAGGTTATGTTAGAAGCGACAAATGAAAATACTTGATATTTATATCCATATACAGGCTGCGCCAGAACTCGCGCCCCAGAGAAAATTTTCAAGGTAAGATACCAGGAACATGAAAAAATGTTTAAAAAATTCTATCTGTCAAAAAATTTTGACATTTATTTTTTGACATTTGACATTTTTTTTTATATCTATTTAATGATACTGATACTTGTATATGTTTTTTTTACAATTATTTAGTAAAGGGATAAAAATTTTGCCAATAAAAGCCACAAACAACATTGAACAGAGTTACAATTTAGGATACAGCTTCCTTGTTTCCTCTTTTAATAGCCTATAGCAAAAAAACTTGGAAAATTATTTTTCCAACAGAAATAAATAGAGTCAAAATGCAAACTTTAAACCCTCATAACTTCGAAATTTTTATAGATATTTTTTTTAAACATTTTTTCCATGTTCTTGGTATCTTACCTTATATGGCATTTTTCTCTGGGGGCGCGAGTTCTGGCGCACCCTGTATGTATTTAATTCTATAATTTGTAAATTACATATTTTCTATACTCATTCTCTTTGTGTTTTATTTTATATGTACCTACTATCGGACAAAACTTATCAGTTTAAAACGTCATAGTAGGCTGGTGTCATAAACAAAAGAAGATTATTTTCATATGTTAAATACGTTAGTTTGCAATAATTTATGTAAACAACACTCTTTATTAGCGCGACAAAAATAAAGCAAATTTTTGTTTGGTATAGAAATAGAAAAAAAGAGTCTACGATTGAGGTAAGTTTATAAAAGCATATTTTCGGGTTAATTAAGCTTATTCGCAAACTTTTTAAATACATAAATATGCCAAAAGGGAAAGCAATATGCTTAGAGTTAAAAAAAATAGTAGTGAACACTTTTTTGGAGGGAAAGAGTGTGACTACCATTTCCAGGCAATTTGTCTTGCCCAAATATAGTGTGTCCAGTTATAATGTAAGAGGACATGTAGAAAAAATGCCCAAGACACAAAGGTCTAGAAAAACTGCAGTATGGATGGATAGCAGAATTAAAAGGATTTCTCAAAGAGATACGTGGCTATCAGCACCAAGAATAATTGGTGAAATTCCTGAATTAGAAGTTCACGAACAGTTCAACGAAGATTAGTTGAAGCAAACGTCCAGTTAATAAACCGTTGGTCAGAAAGAAATCGTCTTGCCAGGCTTGCATTTGCACGACGACATTTTTAACTGTAAAGATAACACCAGATTTTATCCAAAGTACGTTACACCAACAATAAAACACGGGCGAGGAAGTATATTGTTATAGGGTTGTTTTTTGTGGACCGGAGTAGGCCCACACTTCATTGACGGCACTATGGATCGGTTGATATACCGAGACATACTCCAAAATGTCATGTTGCCTTATGCTGAGTGGGAAATGCCTCTGCGCTTCATGTTTCAACAAGACAATGATCCGAAACACAAGTCTCGCCTTGCTCAGGACTGGTTTCAGGAGAATGATGTCCATGTTCTGCAATGGCCAGGACAATCACCTGACCTCAATCCCATCGAGAACCTGTGGGAAGAGATTGAACGTGGTATTCGTACCACTTCCCTAACAAGCAATCGTTGATTGATAAAATTAACGAAGTTTGGACGAATCTGCCAATTGCTACAACACAAAATTTAATTTCATCCATGCCACGTCGATGTCAAAAAGTGATAGCAAATAATAGTTATCCTATTAATTACTAAGTTAATACTTTCATAATATTGTTAAATTTGTTTTTGTTGTTAAGTAATTTTTGTTTTGTAAAAGTTGCTTTACTTTTGCTATGTTTCAATAAGTAAAACATTTGAAAACCTAAACGATAACCGATGCCAATAAAAATATTTTTTTACATTTTACTTATAATTCCAAAGCAAAGAGAAATACATTTCGTCAGATAATAGAAGGAACTATAAAGATAACTATATAAAGATTTTTTTTTAAATAGTTGCTTTACTTTTGTCCGATAGTGTATGTATAGTGACGGACAGTGTATTTCTTCAGCCAATTTCCATGACAGCCTAAAAGTGGAAATTAGTCTTTAGGTTTTTTTTAACCTTGTTTAAGAATTTTGATTAATGTTTGCCATGCTAGCTATTTTTTATCGTTGCTTTGTCTTACGTTGCTTGAAGTTTAAAATGAATTCAATAATTTTTATTTTATAAACGTATTTGCAGCTGGCACGTTCGAATTTGATTAAATATGACAATACATATTTGAATGTCAATTACCATAACGATAAAGCACAGACTACAGTGAAATTTTGTCAATTCACGGAAAGAAGTTGGACGAAATTCACTGTCCATACGAGTACTCAAACTCACAATCACTCGAAAAAAATTTCGGAAACAATCAATGCACTCAGGATATTATAAGTAAAAATTACAATTTTTATCACAAATATCGCAATTGTGTTGCTCCGTTACTATGTGTTACTGAAACATTTTATCATCAGCCGTTGCTTTTAAAGAGTTACTTTATCTTATACTGTTTCTATGGTGTTTTTAAGCTTACCTCTTTTGTTGCCGTTAATATATTCTTTTCTACATTTAAAATACGTCGTCAATTACAATGTATTTATTTTATAAGTACCTTTGAAAATTAAGACATTTACTTTTGGCATACTATTTGCTATTTTAAAAATGTGTAGAGTGTAAATTAGGTTTTCATCAAGAATGTCGAATTAATTTTTATTTCATTATTTAAGTGACATTTAAGAAACTTTAATTTCAGGGCATTTTACAATGACATAATTTTAGATTTGTCAAAGTACCTTAGTTACCAACGGCCGCAAGTTACATAAAATACTCTTATATTGGCATTTTGTTAATTTTGACATTATTACCTATGACATTTTTTTTACAATTTTTGAATTTCGTAAAATTTTCTAATTTAATAGGAGTATTAATTTTGGAGAGCGATTTAAAGGCATCACAAGTTTTATTATTCGACTCTTATAAAAACATACAAAAATTTTTGAATTTTCTGAAAGATATTTGGCGAAAAAATTGTCATGAAAATAGATGAAAGATTTATTATTTAAGTACTTTATCCACTAGTGAATAAAGCAAAACCTAGTTTTATCTATTTTTGAATGTTTCTTTAACAAACTACAAATGTATTTTATCTCTAACACAGGGCGACAAAAAAAAAGTCATGTGGTGACAACTTGACAAATTTTATACCATTTTGTTCGTCTCAGTGAGACAAATCAAATGCACTAAAAAAAAAATTTAAAAGTCCACACGCTTTGAACTAAATAATTTTTTGTAATTTAAATGAATTTAAAATGCTTTAACTTTAAAAAATCATTACTCAATAACTATTAGGCCGATTTCCTTCAAATAAAGACCATTCTAAAGGGATGGCTTTGCCCTTTAAGATGATGTGAAATTTGAATTTGAATATAAGTAAACTTAAGTTCGATTACCATCGTGTAGAGCATCTCTTTATTAGTTGTAATCCAAATTTTCAAAAGAATATACTTAGTAGTTTTCAAGATATGGTTTTTTGAAGTTAAGGTTTGCTAATCAAGCATTGCTCCTTATAGGAGAAATCCATATTAATCTTACTTAAAATTGCATTTTTATAAAACACTGTTCGAAGAAAAGTTTGCCAATATTCAATTTCAAATTTCATATCATCCTAAAGGGCAAAGCCATCCCTTTAGGATGGTTTTTATTTGAAGGAAATCGGCCTAATAGTTATTGAGTAATGATTTTTTAAAGTTAAAGTATTTTAAATTCATTTAAATTAGAAAAAAATTAAGTAGTTCAAAGTGTGTGGACTTTTTGATTTTTTTTTTAGTTCATTTGATTTGTCTCACTGAGACGAACAAAATGATATAAAATTTGTCAAGTTGTCACGACATGACTTTTTTTGTCGCCTTGTGTAATTAGCATTTGGATGACGTTTCAAAAACGACGACGTTGAAAAACCCAATTATCTAGATAAACTAAACAATTAAAATAATAAGTCTGCCTTGTGCGCATAAACGCAATATTAAAGAAAATAAGCAACAATCAGTATTTTCATTATAAAGTTTTTAAGTAAACATTTTGAAACATTTCTAGAGTAATTAATTGTTTTTATTATTTATTTAGCTTTTTTCTTTTATTTCACCATTCACGATGCATCTGAATCATCAAACTAAAACAACAAGCCTTTACAGTTTGTTTAAACCTGGCCATCTATATCAAATTTTGGCCTGTTTAAGTGGTATGTCCAAATAAAACTAGTTGTGTAGTAAATAAATCATATATTTTTTTTAAGCTTCGCTTATTGTGACTTCGGATGGGATGCAATACGGTTGGTCATCTCCTGTGATTCCAATCTTAGAATCAAAAAATTCTCCTGTCAAAATCACATCAGTTGACTCTACTTGGTTGGAAACTACATTCCTCTTATCAGGACCTCTAGCAATAATTATAACACCGCTTTTGGTTGACAAAATCGGCCGTCACAGGTTGATTTTAATAATTTCTTGCGTTTCTATAATAGGATGGATTCTCATCGGGGTTGCGACTCGTGTAGAAATTTTATACGTCGCAAGATTTCTATTTGGAACCACATCAGATATAATTTTTTCTGTAGTACCAATGTACACTTCAGAAATCGCCGACAAAGAAATTCGAGGTTTATTAAACGGTTTCGTTTACGTATTGTTGTACCTCGGATTTATCCTAGTGTACTCTATAGCTCCATCAACCCCTTTCTACGTAACGTCAGTAGTGGGTGTAGGAATTTTATTTTTACAAATATTCACTTTTCTTCCCATGCCTGAGTCACCATACTTTTTGGTGAAAAAACAGCGTTACGAATGTGCATTAAACTCGTTGAAAAAATTCCGCTCGAAGAACAGCTGTGAAATCGAACTTGAAGAAATCACAACCTATGTGAATGACAGTAAAAGTAGCGTAAAAGAAGCCATTTTTAAAAAAAGTACACTAAAAGTGTTTGTTTATTTGACCATATTGTTTGGAGCGCAACATTTTTGCGGTCTAAGTGTCATTTTGATGAACTTGTATACAATTCTTGAAGAAGCTGGTTCAATATATCTCGATCCAAACACGACGGAAATATTATTTGCATTGTTAATGTTGGTTTCAATGTGTATTTCGTGTTATGTTATTGATAAATTTGGCCGAAAAAATCTGTTAGTTTTGTCATGCGCTTTAACAGGAGTAAATTTGATAGGATTAGCTGTTTATTTACACATGAAAAGTTTAAGATTCAGTGTTGATTATCTAAGTTGGTTACCTTTAGTATTTGTTATGTTTTATGCCGTTTCATTTAATATTGGATTAGGACTAGTACCCAAAGTTTTAGTTTCTGAATTATATCCCATTAAAGTTAAAGCAATCGGAATGTCTGTTGGTGGCGGTATATACGAAATTGCTGGAACTCTTTCTATACTATTTTATAAATATTGTACAAAAGCTTATGATATGTATATCGTTTTCTACTTTTTCGGCGCAACTGCTTTTGTAACTGTTTTAATTACAATATTTTTAATTCCGGAGACCAAAGGAAAATCATTGGAAGAAATACAGGTTATGCTTGAAGGACCAAATGAAAATGCTTAAACAAATCGATGGCTAATATCAACGATTTAGAGTAATGCATTTTAAAATTTGTGTAACTGCTTTACTAATGTGCGCATTTAAATATAGACTTTGTTGAGTACGTTGTACATATAAGTATTTTAATAATTTAAAATTACTGAAAATTAGCGATTATATACTGAAACAAATTCATATT